GGAGTGATGTTGGCTTTCTTCCAGTCCTCCGGCACCTCCCCCGTTCTCCAGGACCTTCCAAAGATGATGGCGAGCGGCTCGGCTAGGACATCTGCCAGTTCCCACAACACTCTGGGGTGCATCCCATCAGGGCCCATGGATTTGTGGGTGTCGAGGCTCCCTAGATGCTCCCTGACCCTGACCCCTGATGCTCTTCCTCTACCCAGGGCAAGCCTTCCTCCCTCTGGCTCTCTTCGTGTGTCCCTAGGGCCTGSGATTCTAGAGGGCTGCCCCTGACAAACACAGAAGCAAAGGCAGCATTCAGCAGCTCTGCTTTGTTACTGCCTTAATTTTGCTAATTACTATAGTATGGAAAAAATAATGTCCTCTGCAGTTTCATCATGTACCTTGTTAAAGCAGTTGTGTGTTGATTTGTTTATTCTCTTCTTTCTGCAGGAGATTGATGGGAAGGCACTACTGTTACTGAGGAGTGATATGATAATGAAATATATGGGACTGAAGCTGGGGCCTGCACTGAAGTTGTGCTACCACATTGAAAGACTTAAGCAAGGAAAGTACTAGCTAATGGCGATACACAACGTGTGTTCGTGCCACACTAATCTCTCAGGTTCACGGCCATTTTCTTTATTTGAAAATATTTTGCTGCCGTAAACAGTCTTTAGTTTTTCAAAGTTCTCTCAAATTGCAATAAAATGTTCAGCATAAAGAGCTGAAAAACAGAAAAGTCTGTAGTACCTTCGATACCTGTTTCATTCCTCCTGCAAGGAGGAGACAGTTGGATATACTGTGTTTGGATTTATTTGTTGWTGTTTTTTTGTTGAAAACAGTGATCTCAGTGCTGCTGTTGTCACCAAACTGTGAAAAGCACATTCTCTGTTACAGACTTGAGCCTACGTTTTTATATTCAGAACCAAAACAGCTGAATCCCAAAGGAAAAAAAAATCATCAGGTGTTAATAACTTTTTCAAGGATGGCTGTAATCTTTTACATTTCAAGAAAAAAATAAAAYAGGTGATCTAATTTCTTTAGTTAATATTTTATCTGGTCTTCCAGGAGAGTAATTCTCARCTAGGTTATTCTTCATAGGTTTCCATATAGGAAATAGCAATATGAATTGTTCTTGGGTGAGGGAGGTATGAGCAAGGAAGGGCTGTGTAGGAAAGGGCTTAATACAAGCACAGGCTTTTATCAAATGTGACTGTCCATCCTTCACTAAGTTATGAGGACACATGCACAGGATGTTGTCAGTCCCTGCAGGCAGTATTCCTGCTCTGGTGAGAAGGGCATTTGGGCTGCTTAAACAGCCAGTTCTGGGACAAACGKATTTGTCTGGAACAGCACATCTGCATTTTAAACATTCCACCTTTTGCCAAGTTTGGCATGGATATGTGTGTTCTTGCTGGTTATATATACATGTGTATGTTGGGAAAATACGTACTCTCTCTCTCTATATATATATAAGAAAACACATACACACTGTACATATGTATTCCTTTTTAATGTGTTTTAAGGTACTTTGCACTGCACCAGAGAGAAGTGTACAATTTCATGTTGTTCTTTTTGACCAGTAAGCTTAGTCGTGGACTCCCTTCCCATTCCTTAGCGCCCATTGCGTGTGTTGCCCGTCCCTGGAGTGGGAAGGTGAGGACAGCCAGGGGGTGGGTGGCAGCATTCAAGTGGGCAAGAGCCCCGTGCTGTGCAATGCTCCTGGCTGCGCGGCACCGCGCTCCGAGCCCCGTGGCCTGGGGTAGTTCCGGAGAGGCACGTGAGGTTCTGATGGCTGGGGCTGAGCTTTCCCGTGAGGCACTGTTACGGTGTGACTGGTAAGCGGTCGTGGGGGTAAATTTGGTGCTCTTGGTAGAAGCTGCCAGAATGAGTGGTGCTAATAAGCTGCTTTGTGGTCACTCCAATGGTAACATACCTCAGGGACAAGAAAGCAGCCTTCCAGTGTAGGACGGAACGTGCTGTATGTCGTAGCGCAAGTGATAAAAACGATTTGCTAGGGGAAATGTAGTCCTAAAATGGTAGGTTTTATTCTATTTCTTATTGCCTTTTTATATGAAAGCGTATAGTAAAAATGTATTTTTTACAATTTTTTCATGTTCAAAAATGCCTTGCTTTACCRCAAGTCTGATGTTTCTCAGGTTTCAGCAGAGATGCTGCTGAATGATGCCCGTTGTGATTCACAAGTGCTCAGGTCTGTTTGGAGTTTGAGTGACTGCAATGCAATTCAGTTCAGCAGGGCATTGGCACTTGGAGGGCTGTGTTGTTACTCCCTGATTAGACATGTGACGCGAGAGGTTATCCRCATTGACTTGCTCTGCATGTCTGTTGTGGTGCATGTATGTGTGCTTAGGTGAATAATACCAACATGATCTGAATGGAAAGCGAAGGTCAGCGCCCTGAGTGGGGAAAGTGTGACTTTTCAACGTGGTGAGTGTTGCYCTAATGATAGGAAAGTTACAGCTTGCACCACGGGGGAAGCATCGTTGCCTGGTGCTCACCGTGCTGCTTGTTCTTCCATGCTTTATTATGCAGAATTTCAGGAAATTGTCGTGTAAAAGGAAGACCCATTGTACCGTTTATCTGAAAGTAATTGACTGAAAAATTGTGGAGTTCTCTTGTTTGCTTGTTTTTACCTTGTCATATAATTGCCGTAAGAGAAACAAAGATGTTTAAATTTCCTGTTGGGTTATTATGGAACGAGCTGTGTGTACATGGCAGTGTTAAGGGTAGAAATCCTTGTTCAGGGCTTTGTGGGCACCTGTGGGCACCGCATTTACTGTGACGTTGCAGTGCCAGAACTTCATGCTGTGCCGCAGTATGAGATTCAAGCCTGCAAGCAGCTGTAGCAGAATATATTCTGGGCTCTTTATTTTCAATGGGATGTTCTTATCTATCAATGAAAATAAAATAGTTTGTTCATTGTTGTAACTGTCTGTCTTGTTTGCCGTTGTGTATCTGGGGAGCACCATCTGTGTAGGCAGGGGCTGCTGTCTTATCTGGCGGTTGGCAGCTCCTCACAGTTCATGTAAACATCCCATGTAAGGCAAGTTTAATCCCCAGCATAAAATAATTCCAACACTGTTTGTCTAAAGCAATTAATATTTGAAGTTGGGCTGGTCTGTGCTTTTAAAATAGCAATTTAGAAGTGTATTCAGATATGTAGCTTTGCATATAGCCTTTATGCATGTAGCCTCTTCTGGTTTACAGCATTCCCTTGTAATCAGTAAGGGAGAAGAGACCACTAAAAACTATGATTTGCCACTACTTGCATTTTCCATACAAAAACTGGAAATTCATTAGAGTACCTTTTTTTCCTTTTTTCCTGATAGTTTGGTACTTGACTTGATTTAAATGTGTTTCAGAAGTGGCGTGTCAGTTACTTCTTAGCAGAGCACAGTTTTAGATTTACGCTTGAATTTCAATCTGTCCCATTAGATTGCAACACACAGGCCGTAACTTGCAAGTAGAACCGAAAGYGTTTTCCTTTCTGCACGTAGTGCCTTTTCTTTCAGCTGCTGCTGCGTTTTGGCCGTGGGGATGGCTCTGGCTGCTCGCGCAGCCTCCCTGGAGCCTCCRAGGTTTCAGATGCTTGTGCAGGGTTCAGCTCCCTCCCTGCTCCTGCTCCGTGGGGACCGCAGTGGGGTGGGATCCTCCTGCCCTTCTGCCCTCACTTTGTGCCCCCCCAAGGGCTTCCAGYGTCTCCGGCTCTACTTCTTGCAGCGTTACTAAATACATGTTCTGCGTTCACATGAAGACCTAAAGTACTTTAAATTGAAGCTCTTAGCTCCCACAGATTTGAACTTCTATACCTCGGGTTTTGAAGGAGTTTGGTTGTTCTGATGCCTGCTCCCAGTGACCAATTTGCGTTTGAAAGCTTAAATTGGCTTAATGGTTGCCCAATTATGGAACTTGGAAGCAAAGAACTTGGAACTTGGTCCAGAGACATTTTGCATCTAATTTCTGTCTGAAGATACTGAATATCCTTTTATTCTGGTGTGTATATATGTCAAAAATGCATAGCATTTTCTCTTTGTTTCTCAGTTGCTTTTCTGTCTGCAGGGCTTTATCTGCTAAAGTGGTTCTTCTGGCTGTAACTCCTCAGTGTTTCGTAAGACTTCCTCCGTTTCAAATTAAATGGTGTTGCTGGTGAGAACGAGGTGCTGCCGTGCATTTCTTGCAGCAGAAGACCTGTGCACTGCCAAGTCTGACGGGTGCTGTGCAGCATGGGCTGCTGCAGCGGTACAGTTGACATCGCTGCAGGTCTGACAAGTTCTCTGCAGTGGTAGACGCACTGCAAGACATCTTCAGGAGGGATCTGATCAATATGGGTAAATACCTGAAAGGTGAACAYAGGGAGGAAGGGGCCAAAGTCTTCTCAGTGGTGACCAGTGACAGGACAAGRGGCAATGGGTGCAAACTGCAACACTGGCAGTTCCATCTCCATGTGAGGAGGAACTTGTTTCCTGTGAGGGTGCCAGAGCCCTGGCACAGGCTGCCCAGGGAGGCTGTGGAGTCTCCTTCTCTGGAGATCTTCCCAACCCGCCTGGATGCCGCCCCGTGCTCTGGGTGTCCCTGCTGSAGCAGGGGGCTGGACTGGATGATCTCTAGAGGTCCCTTCCAACCTCAACCACTCTGTGACTTTGTGACTGTCGAAGACAGCAGCATCACTTTCTAAATTTTCCTTCAAAGGATAAAGGAGTCTTCCTTTTTTTTTTTTTTTTT